TTTATCTATCTATCTATCTATCTATCTATCTATCTATCATCTTCTCTGTTGAAATATTGCTCTGGTCTGACAAAATATGAATCCATTGATGTTTAAATAATCTCTGTCTCTGTAGTTGCAGGTGTAGTAATCTTTCTCATTTGGTGAGGCCAAAGTTGTGAGTGATAGGCTATCAAAGAGTTATTTCATGTTTTTAATTAGCATCTTCTCCAAACAGTGATCTTTCAGCTCAGCTCCTCCTTTTTGAAGGGCCCAGTGGAGGGAAGAAGGGTCCTTCTGGAATGTGACTCAAGTTCCTTCTGAACAAGATGAACATGGATCTCAGGGAGGTTAGGACAGGAGCTGGCAGGTTGTAACCACCACAGAGCAAGAGCTCCACTGTCTGCAGCTTCAGGGAACCAGATCCACAGAAAGAAGCTGATCTGCAGGGACACCAGGCTCTTTTCTCCAGAAACACTGCCCACCCCATCGCTGTGTGGCTGTGCCTGGCTCCAGCCCATCTCTCCAGGCACAGCATCCCAGCCTTTATCTCCTCGCACTCACAGCCCACCTGCTGGCTCCTCCTCGCTCACATCCAGCCCTGGCTGGAACATCCTGTCCTTGGCAGGAGGATGCTCCCCAGGACAGCACAGCAGACATCCTCTAGACACCCGGGCAAACAAGAAGAGCCTGCCCTACATCCAATCCCCCTGCTTTTTGCTCCACCCCCCAGCAGCTGGCAGCAGTTTATCCACCCGAGCAGGACAGCTCCCACTTGGACGAGGTATTTGGGTGCTCCTGCCAAGCAGGAGGAACATCTGCAGCGAGGAGCTGGGACCACATCCTACTTCCCCAACCAGCAAGAGCTGCCAGCAGGGGAGGAGGTTTCTGTGAGCACGAGATTGCTGGCAAAATGCTGATGCATCTGTGTGCTGGACTCTTTAACCTGCTTGTCCTTCCCTGAACCCGTCCCCTTCTTCCCTCCCTTCCCTTTCCCCCTCCTCCTTCTGCTTCTGGGCACTCCCTAACCTGGATCTCCCGTCCCTGGGGCGTGGGTGCCTCCCCACCATCCCCCGCCTCAGGGAGCCTGCCACAGCACGTGTGAAACTGCAGAGCAACTCCTTCAGCAAATTGTTTGGTTATTCTGTATCACAGAAATAACAAATAACGAGGAAAACAGCGATTTAAACACACAGGCACACAACCATTAATGAGCAGGTGATTAGAGAGACAGGAAGGGAAGGCAGAGCTTGCCAGGGCCATTGAAGGAGCTACTCTGGCTTTGGAGAGGATCTGCCTCAATATTGTAACTGGTAAGATGGAGAAAACATGGTTAGTGTGAAATTAGAGGTGTATTTGAGGGAGCTTGGGGGGCTGAACAAAACTTACTACAAGATGTTTACAGAAATGACCAAAGACACAGGAAGGGAAGGATCAGGGTGGAACAAGTATGGGAAGGTGACAAAGAAGGAGGTTGGAGGGATCAGACATGACAGCAAGTGTTTGGGCAGGACAATCACCTGGCTGGGCCCTGGTGATCCATGCAGTCTGGCCTGCCTTCTTATTAAATCCCATCCTTGATTACCTTTGCTGTGTGCCAGGCCCTGGAAAAGACTCAGGGTCTGAGCCAGGGCTGGTTGAGGGAGCCAGGACAGAGGACACTGGACAGGCTTTTCAAGGGATCCATGAGAGAGGAGTGCCTGTGAAGGCAGAGAATATGGGAGGGGAAAAGAGAGCCACAAAAGCAACAAGCAGCAAAGATTCTCCATCTCAACACTGAGAGATGTAAATACACTGGCAGAACAAAGCATCCATAAAAATTATTATGTTTGTTCAAAGTTACACTGCAGTAATTTTTTGGGTGCCCCCCTGGAATTCTGCTGTCAGTAGACATTCCCCAGTCACCATCCCAAATGCTGTTTGTGAGGGTGCTGTGCTTCAGACTTGAATTAAATGCAGTCTCAATTGCAACAAGAAAGAAATTGTGGGGTTTTTTAAAGTAATTACAGTTGCTAAGACGTGTTCAGTACAGGCAGGCTACTGAGAAAGCAGGTCCAATGAATAAGATAAATTCAGTGAAACTGAAGTACCAAGAGAGAACCTGCAAGGTTCCATTCCAGCTGCTTTCAGACACCTTAATTTGTATCAACAATGTGAGGAAAAGCAGCACCAACAGCTGCTGAGTTAGAAAGTTGCTCTTAATGAGTTTTGAGGCCAACCATTTTCAACACTTTGAAACACGGGAACCATGTTTGAAAACAAAAAGGTTGAGGTTCAGCTGTCTTCAGAGACGGAAAACCAACTCCATTTGGATGCCTAAGTGAAAAATCAAAACTACCATCCTTCTGTGTGGAGCTTTGAGCTGCTGTGACTGCAAAGCAACCAAACAACCACTGCCAGAAAACACTGCTCCAAAATGGATTCCAGCAAAGCCTGAAAAACAGAGCACAGCAGCCTGTTGGAACACCCCAGGTTGCACTCTTGTCATTTCACATGTAGCAGTCAAACACAAAGTCTGAAAAGTAGATCTTGGAACTTTGTTTTCTCTACTCTTGTGAGCTTCTACAGGCACAGAAAGGATTTATTCTTCCTGTACAAAGCTATGAAGGGAATTAGATCAGGCTTAGGCAGCTGCAATCTAACAGAAAGCCTTGCCACCAGCCATTCCTTGAGCTGCTGCCACTGAGAGCAGCACAGTATTCCCTGATAAGAGAAATACCAACAGATAAGTACCTGGGAAAGTATTTTTTACAGAATTACTTTTTACTAAGACTCGAATCAGAAAAATAGCACATATTTTCATCTCTAGGCAATAAAACTTGAAATATGTGCTTTATGTCTTTAAAATTCAGTAAAAGAGTTTGTATAACGATGTTCAGAAATTATTTATGTTGATAAGTACTGTTGTGTCACCCTTAAATGAAGCACAGCTTCCCTAGATTGTTTACTTCTGATATTCCTTCATAACTAAGCTTAAGAGACAAGTGAGCTCACAGCTCTCCACCTGCTTAAAACTGAGGTAGGGATGTTTCAGTTAGGAAATATTTCAGATATTTCTCTTATCAGATGTATCAGATAAGAGAAAACACAGAGTTCTTTTGACAGCTCTTCTGAGTGAAAGATACTTCAGCACACAGGCAGCAGGGGAAACCTTGCTGGTGCTCAGGTATCAGCTCCATGCTCAGCCAGCACAGCTGAATGCCAAAGCCTGGTCAGGAGGAGCTTTGGCAGGCTGGAGGAGTGGTCACATCATCTCAAAATCAGCACAAACTGGATGTCAAAGGATGTCAAAGGACAATTATAACCGAAACCAACAGTGCCAGTACAAAATCTGCTGTTTCCCTAATGAACTGAGAGAACTCCCAAATTGACCAGTCTTGACAAAGGCCATCTCTGTAAACTGGTCTTGCTAATTACAAGGCTTGTCTTTCTCTTTCATCCTATGAATCTTTTAAATATCACAGTGCCATTCAATCTTTTTTACATTGACAATGCTGAAAAATGTAAGTAATATCTAGATAATTCACTCTCTCAAAGGGGGAAGGATCTGTCAACTCACATAAAGTGGAACATGAATTCCCATGCTATTCATTTGAAGTGAAATATCCATGGGCTGCATGAAATGCACACTCATGGTTTTAAAACACAGACAGAAGCATCCAGCAATATTGCAGAAATATTGAGGAGTAGTCAGGTAAAATGAGGGAATGCCAGAATAATCTCTTATATGTGTTTCAACTTCTAAAAATCTTTCTTGAGGAAAAAAAATCACATTAAATCCTAAAAAGTGACCTGCAGTTTTAATTCCTGTTCTCGAATGCCCAACTATATCTTTTTTATAGACTGAGAAAATGACTGTACCAAATGTTCTCACTGCTTCTGTGTGTGCTGATAGCAATAATTTCTGACAATAAATTTGAGCTGGCTATACACCACATTTATTTTTTGTGAAATTCTTTAAAGGCTGTTTTCATGTCCACTGGAATATTTTGTTTTTAGGAATCTATAAAGTTTACAAAGTGAGATCCACTAATCTAAAGTGACAAAATAGATGGGTTATGTCATAATTGCTCTGTTCACACTATTTAACTGCAAAGTATGTAAAAAGTCCTGTCTTTAAAAAGTACATCCAGAGCACTCCAAGCATAAAAGAAACCATAATGAAAGGCTGAAGTGACATTCATTGCAGCAATGCTTTATTTCTCTATATTGCAGTAACTCTCTATGCCATTAATACCTTCTGAGAATATAGGTTTAATAGTTGCTTCAGAGTATCTTTCAGTCATTTCTCTAACAGAGCTCATACAAATTTAAGCTAAAACTTTCCAAGTGGTCTAAATAAGATGAGGAGATCATCAGCAGTCATTGTCAATGAGGTCATTTAAATATTGCATTCATACTGCTTATTTTGACTAGGAGCTGTAAGTCCTCTATTTCTCATCTTGAGTCTGCTTCCATCTTAGGCTCAAATAAATGAAGAATATCCATGAGATAGGTGGTCAAATGTACACTGCTAACTCGTGCCTAAAACTAAGTTTAGATAGCCTTGGTCAACAGTCTAGAGACAGGAAATATTAATAACAAATTTTTTGTAACTATCTCAAACACACCTGCTGGTTTACATAACAACAGTCTGTTCTGCTGGTCAATTATCAAGAATTTTGGTATCTCAAAGTATTTTAAGTAAATCCCCTCATGAGTGAAGGTAAGTACAGTCCCTCATCTTCATTGTCTCAGTAGCCCAGGTATAGGCAGCTGCAGAGCTGATGTCACAGCAGCACATTCAAAGAAAGCATTACATAGCTGCATTTAAAATTAATTGTGCCCACAAAAGCTTCTCTCTATTCATAACAAAGGCTGTCCAAATGCCAGGATCAGGTGTGGATGTTGATAATGTGACATTTGAAGTTCGATGAGATGAATTCTGCCCAGAAATCCCACATATCATCTGTGCGTGTCACTTTCCCCTAAATATTACTGAGTGTGGATTTCATGTTCTCCCTGGAGTTTTACACTCCCAACACCTGTGAATCCACAATCCAACCTCCCAAGAAGGCATATGCTACTAAATCAATTAATACTTCCTCTTTGAGTAATTAATACTGGCACCTGACAAAAATACTTTGGGGATAGACAAAAAGATATTTCTGTTGTGACTCTTTCTATCACAATCTCCCAGTCTCAGCACTGGCCATTGTTATTTAATTGTTCAGCATCCTTCACTTAAATTAATTGCTTGTTTTTCTGCTCCAAGGAAATGTCAGTCAGTGCTCTGCCCTCACTGTGGCCCTTTGGAGTCTCATAACCCTTAGCTACCACAAGAGACTGTGGCTGACATTAACCAGTGTCAACTAGATTATATTGTTTGGAATAAAGATTGATGCTTGTACTTACAATGGATGTTATACAGTTAACTGAAATATATGATGCCCATTCATCAGCTTTTTAGCTTTATGTCAAAGCACTTGTAAGCAGGAAAATGAGCAATAAAAAGACTTGTAGTTATAGGAATGAGAAAGTGAAGTTTCTATGTCTATAGTTCAGGCTTCTCTACATTTCCAGCACTCCCTTTTCTAAGCATGACATTGATACTTAAGGTAAACCAGATTACACAGTTCATTTACTTACAGGTCTTAAGAAATGATTTATAAAGATAAACCCACCAGAACAGTAACAACTCTAATACACATAAATTTTCACTTTTCGGACATCTTTGTCTTCGCATTCTCTTTGCCTGTTGTAATAATAGAATGTATTGTCCCTTCTCTGGAGTTTCTTAACAAATCCAGTTTCTGGCCAGAAATCTACCTACAAGTAGAACAAAAAGGATATAAAATCACCTGAACATGCTCACATTAAATGATGCTTGTGCATGACATTGCAAGGAATATGGGGTATACTTTCATAGGAAACCCTCATTTGCATCTAAATACTATTTTTCTATTAACTTGCTGAACTTTTGAAAACTGATTGAGAACAAGATGACAGAAACCAGTTTTCAGGTTTAGTATAAAGTTATGTGATCTGAAAAGCCTAGAAATAGGAATCTAATTATATTGAAAATGGTTATTTAAAATTGGACAAGTCAAAGATTTTAAATCACCTTGTTTAGGAATATAACATTGATGTTATTCAGTTATTCAGTAATCTGAGAGGCTGCAAGGGTCTGCTTCTGTAAGACTGACATATATTTAAAGATTTCTTTCACATCTTTCTGACCATGAAAAATGGGCTTTTCATTAGTAATTTAATGAAAATAAAGTAAGCTTAAGACTGTAACATTCTCAAAGACAGTAGGATCAGTCCCACATAAACTCAGCATCACGCTGGTGCTCTTCACTGTTTTGCAGTGTAAAGCTTTAAATTAAAGACTTCAGCATCTGCACATTCGACAGCTTTATGGCTTTAGTAGCTCTTTCAGCTTGAGCATCTATGACTGCTCCTGATTAAAGTAAACTGTGAAAATCAGGTAATAAGCATCTTATTTCTCATCCAGGCAGAGCTGACAGCAGGATGTCAGACTAGAGCATTCTCTAATTGGAGAGCCCCAGAAATGGTTTCATCACTTACCTTATGGCTTCAGGCATACAGCTGTGTTATTGGCATTGTCTGTCTAAACATAACAGCCTTAATTTTCATTCCACCTACATTATAATTGCATCTTTAGTAACAACTGCATCATAGACTAATGTGGACTAAACAAGAAATTTTGGAATATGCAAGTTGAAAGAATGACTGTCAGGCCCTGGCATGCTGGAACTGAATGCTCACTCTCATTACAATTAGTCAGTGGTATTCTTTAACTTTCATCAGGGTTTAACTGCCAGGGGCTGTGCCCTGCCATAAATCTTGAACACACAGACCTACCACAATAATTATGTCATTTCCTTCTGCACTTACTGAAAATTATACCACAGCCTTTGCAGTGGTATCAGAGCCCACAATAAAATAATAAACTGCATTTTATTATGCACATCAATGTTTTGCTGTGTTTTGAGTTAACTGGATGGGGAGTGAGTTTCTTGGAACTTTCTGGTTTTTTCTTATGTGCACAGGAGGTCAGCATATTTTAAAAGTGTGTTCTCCATACTATATTTGTTGCTTTGAAAGATAAATTACAGAGCTGTAATAAAAATGCTATATTGTTTGCTGCATTAACCTGTTGGTTGCTATTTTGAACCTAGAGTAACCATGGAAATTTGGCCACTACTCAATAGCTCATTTGATGTGCTGGGGAGCATCACTAACAGCTGCAGTGAGCAGAGGCACAAGTCCCTGGTGTTGACAAGAGCCTGTGTGACAACTGCCTTTAGTACAGCTCAAATATTTCCACTGTGAACATCATTTTGATAGAGGCCAAGCCCTGAGTGTGCACAAAGCCTAGCACACAATCCAACTGCAAACTGAAGCAGTAGCATGACACAGGACTGACTCCACGGACAATCAACAAGTTTCCCATCAAGTCTATTGACAGACTAAGGGGAAGCTTCAGAGAGCTCACTTTGAAATATTTTTTTCCTGAACACTGAATGATTCCTTTGGAGATCAGCTACATCTGTTCAAAGAGATCTGTGATGCTTCTAAATGCATCAGAGATGGGGAACAAAACACAGGCTGGGGAGTGTTTCTGCTTCACTTCTGTGAAATGAGGTATTCTACACAGTTAACAACAGCTCAAGAATTCAAGTCAGACCTGTGAGGAAATACACTGTATCAGAACCTAACCTAAATGAAAGGAAATAAGCAGCACCTCCATTTTTATTTAATCATTTTACATAAGACAGAAGTTTAAAGTAGTAACTCTTACAAAGTTCTAAATCTTACCTGTTCAACTTGTTTTACTTGTTTATATTCCACCTCATCTCTGTATCCAGCTTGCTGAAATCTGTATAAGTTCTCTACAACATCTGACCATGTCTTGGCACGACGCACAGATTTTGGTTTGATGTCAGCTTCAGTGGTGACTTCAGAATCTTTAGGCATCTTCCTGAAATTAAACTTAAAAAATTAAATAGAGAAGACAGAAGCAAGTGATTTTATTGGGGACATAGAGTAATGGATAGAACAAAATTTTAAAATAAAGGAATTACAGAGTTCAAAGTCTGAGGTTAAAAAAGGAAAAAGTTACAAGCAGTTGGAATCCAATTAAATGCATTCCTTGATATCAAACCCAACTCATCTGTACTTTTGTATATATTTTGACTCAACCCTCCTAAAATTTAACTGTGCATATTGATGAATTAAAAAAATTCTAAATGCAGTAATTTTGAATTTCACATCTTTGCAGTTGCTGTCCCCTTGGGGCAGGCAGGCAGATTTCCAGATTTTTCTTTCTTGTTCCTGAAGTGGCACCAAACTGGAAACCACAGAATGAAGATCTGGGCTGTTACTGAAGAACAGCAAACACTCAGGATGGGAGAGGAGGGGAAAGGAGAAATGCACAGTCAGTGACATGGCCACAGTGCCAATGGCTGATGAGGTCTTCAGAGATAAACTGGATAAGGAGATCCAGTTTTTCTCCTTATCCAGTTTTTCTCCCCAACCTGCCAGAATTCTTGTTTTCTACCTTTGCCCTAGCAAACAGACTGCCACTGACTTCCTCCTCACACAAAACCCATTTGTTCAGTCTGCTGAGACACAGCAAACAGGTTAATCAGCTGCTAAACCTGAATAGAGCAGAACTGGGACAAGCTGCAACTCAAACTCAAAAGAAAATTAATTAAATATTAAATAAGAAAAAACCCAAATAAACTAAAAACAGCAGCAACAAAAAAGCAATTAAAAATTGTAGACAGTGGATACTCACCAGGGATGGATTTGAACTACATTAAAAAAATAAGTAATTTGATTTCTGATTTTCATTGTATTTGCTTTCCTAAGCATATCTTATTTTGCTGCTCAAATAGAACTGTTGTTGCTTCTGCCAGCAAAACACACCCATCAGTATCATGCCTAGCAGGTATGATCAGAGATGAGTCCTTTCCCAGTTTTGAAATGTCACCAAGCTTCAGCTTCATAACTAGGAAAGTATCTCCAAGGAATGAAAACTTCTGGATTTGGTAGTGCGAGGATGAATAGTTTCCTTCCCTGTGGGTACCATGCCTCCAAACCTTGCCCAATTTCTTTATTTGGCAAGTTTCTATATCAACAGAAAGCTTGAAAAGTTGAATGCTGAAATCATATCAAATGCAAAATGTCACTAGTCTTTTAGAAAAGCAGAAATTGGAAAAAAAGTCTTGCACCACATGATAAAAATATTTGGGAAAATTATATCAAGAATTGTTGGTATCACAATGTGGACTAGGAGAAAGAAGTCTGCACACCTGTCACCTGTTTGTATGAGAGGCAGCAGCAGACAAAGAAAGGGCCTTTCATCTCTTATCAAATACATTTATTAGAGACCTATAAAATATGTAAAAGGGCATTTTTCCGGCACCACTGAACCATTTCTTGCAGTTCAGTACTCCAAGCATTCTTTTACCAGGCACTGCAGCAGTTTTCAATTGAAAGCAGCCATTCACTAAACTAAAAAAGTAATTTTCCCACCTGGTTATGAGGTATCAAATACAAATTAACAGGATAAGCACAGATCCTTATTCTAAATTCAGGGTAGTAAGTAGGGTAAGTTTGTTTCTCCTGTGCTGCAAAGGGCTCTTTTGAAGCCATCACAGGATTTTTCAAGCTCTGTATTTTTTATCAGTGTTTGATGAGAACTGTTGTCAGTCAATATTAACTTTAGACAGTCAATATGATGAGCAATAATATTAGATCCTAATAAATGCTAAGCCAGAATGAAATCAAGTGTCCTGTGATAACTTACATGTCCTCAGTGTTAAGTGCTTCTTTACTGGACATGCTGGATTCACCAAATTAACAGGATAAGCACAGATCCTTATTCTAAATTCAGGGAATAAGTAGGGTAAGTTTGTTTCTCTTATGCTGCAAAGGGCTCTTTTGTAGCCATCACAGGATTTTTCAAGCTCTGTGTTTTTTATCAGTTTTATCAGTTTGATGAGAACTTTGTCAGTCAATATTAACTTTAGACAGTCAATGTGATGAGCAATAATATTAGATCCTAATAAATGCTAAGCCTGAATGAAATCAAGTGTCCTGTGATAACTTACATGTCCTCAGTGTTAAGTGCTTCCTTACTGGACATGCTGGATTCACCCAATGAAGGTTTTTCTTCAACACATGTGGGTGGGTCTGGCTCTTCTTGAGTCACCATTAATTCACAGGGCCTGTCCACAGGCGTTCCTGCCCAAAAAAATAAAGATCATTCATTGAAAGTTCCAGCTTAGTGAATTCATATAATGAAAGCATCTCATCTTGGGGTTGCTATTTAAAAATTGTACTCTGTGTCTATTGTGTGTCCAAGTCCCAGGCACAGAGCTGTTTTCATTGTACCAGAGCAGGGGACAGCTGTACTCCAGCCAGGAATTCAGGGAAGGGATGAAAGACAACACACAGACAAAGGCAAATAAAGAAAACAAGAGAATGGTAAGAAAATATTCAGTTTAATATTAACATTTTTATTTAAGGGGAATTTTTGAACAGTGATGCGGACTTTTGAACAGTGCTGAGATGACAATGTTTGCCAGCTCCTAATTTAGGGTAAAAAGTGAGTGCTTTGGCCTTGGGAACACATTTTTTAATGTTAATCATAACACTGTGGAATCCTAACCAGCCTGGGCTCACTGATGGTGGTTTCCTGAACAGTTACACAAGCTGTGAGGGTTTGTGGGAGCAGTGTGTCTGCTCCCTTAGGGCATCTGCCCAAGGAGCACTTTCACTGCTACACGGGGTTACAGGAAAGGGAGGAAGACATAAAACAATATATGGGGACTCAAACCTGAGCAGCAAATGAGGAAAGTGATGATGAGAACCACACCTGTGGCATGTGAAGAGTGTGAGACTGTTTATTCCAGCAAGGTTATCTGATCAGGGACCTTGTCAGTTGGGAAATCTGGGAAAAACAGGGAAACAAACAAAAAAATGCAGAGATTTGGATCTGACAAAACAAACACTGATAAACAAACATCAACTCCAGCACTAATAGATGCTGAAGTTCATGAAACTACAGGAATGACATCCAGGGAGACCAACCTGGACTTTGCACCAGTAAGATTTAACCAGGGAGCCCCAGACTTGGAGAGATGTGGGAATCCATGGAACTGTATAGATCTCTGTGAGGAATGTGCAGGAGCAGTGAGAAACAAAGATAAGAATAGACAGAAAGGAGTATAAAATAAGCCTAAGGACCAGTCAGTATTCCAGCTAAGCCTCACACCTGATCATCACAGACTGTCCTACCCTATTGTATGTTCTTAAATCTTAACTGTCTCTCTGCACGAACTGTATTCCACATGTTTGTGCTGCAATGACAAAGTGCCAGCTCCTGGTGACATCTATGTATGAACACTGGTGCCAGCTCTGGCAGTCAGGCTGAGGGTATGAGCACTTATGATATCTGGAATAGGTGAGGGCACTAAATTTCCATCCACTGGAGCAGGAACAGGATGAATCCTGAAAAATTCGCCACTGGGGATGGGCTGTCATGAGTGAGGGGCTCCAGGTGGAGCAGGACTGTGGCTCACAGCCTGTGTGCCTGGAGCTGGGGAGGAGTGGTGTCTGCACCTTCACCCTGTTTGGTATAGCTAGGGTGCACGCCCATATTCAGCAGCAAACTTGAAGGTGAAGAGGAGGGGCACCTCGGCTCCAGGGTATCCAGCAGGACAGGGAGCCCTGCTGCATCCCCAGCCCGGACAAGGAGCACCACGGCCGCAGGCAGGAGAGGCCCTGGGGCACAGCAGGGGGAGGAGATGGCGGTACCGCCTACATCACTTAATCCAATTCAGCAAACACAGGACCTGCTCGGGGTCTCAGAAGAGCCAGTGACAGATTTCAGAGGATGTCAAGGGGTTGTAAAGGCCCTTAAAGATCATCTCGTTCAGACACCTTCAGTGAGATCAGGTTGGTCAAAGCCCCATGCAACCTGGCCTTGAACTGTCCCAGAGCTGGGGCAGCACAACCTCCCTGGGAAACCTGTCCCAGCGCCTCACCGCCCGCACTGTAAAAATTTTTTTCCTAATATCTAATCTAAATTCCCCTCTTTCCAGTGGCTTCTACCTACTCTACCCGACAGTTTCCTGTACATCCCGAGGTGCTCCGGCAGACGTCCCGGCCTGCACCCGTAACTGCGCTGCGACCGTAACTTCACCCTGCTCCCACCGCTCACCCAGCCCTTAAGGAAGCCCACCTCGGTTCAAGAGACGCAAAACGGGGACTTTCCCAGGCGGGGCGGGGCGAGGCGGCGGCCGAGGCGAGATGGCGGCGCCCTCACGGCCTCCCCCCAGCCCCTCACGGCGCCAACGGTCGCCAGGCAACCGCCCGCCATGGCCTCTTTAAAAACGCCGTGCCCGCCCCTGATAGGTCGGCGCGGGGCGGGGCCGCCTCGTGATTGGCTGGGGGCCGGGCGGGAGGGCGGAAGCGCGCGGCGCCCGCCATGAGCCGTTTCGGGGGCCGCACGCGCGAGTACCCGGCGCTGTCCATCGACCGCTTCGACCACGACAACCTCCGCGCGCGGGCCTTCTTCCTGTCGCACTGCCACAAGGGTGAGGGCCCGCCGGCAGGGACCCCCGACACCGCCGGTCCCTCCGTCACCCCGCGTGTCCCTCCCCCTGCGCCTCCCTCTGTCCGTTGTCCCCGCCCCGCGTGTCCCCCGGCTGACCCCGTGCCTCTCTCCCCAGATCACATGATGGGGCTGCGGGCGACCGCCCTGAAGCGGCGGCTGGAGGGCAGGTACGGGCTGGAGGCGGGGCGGCCTCGGGGGGAGGCGGCCTGAGGGAGGAGGCGGCCGGTGCGCGGCAAAGCTTGAGCTGAACAGCGGGAGGAGCTGCCGTGGGTCATCAATCCCAGGATAGGAACGGGACAGGGACACCTCCCACTAGACCTGGCCTCGGACTCTTTCAGGGATGGGGTATCCGCAGCTTCTCTGGGCAGTTTGTTCCAGTGCCGCAGCATCCTCACTCGTTGTAAAAAATTCCTTCCTTGTAGCTCATCTAGGCCTGCCCCCGTTCAATCTGAAGTCAGTCCCCTTGTCCACACCGTGTCGTTGTAGAAAGTCCCTCTCTATAATTTTTAAAAGCCCATTTTAAATATCAAATGGTAGCAGTAATGTCCCCCCAGAATTTTCTCTTCTCTAGGCTGAAGGACCCCAGCTATCTCAGCCTGTCTCCATAGCAGAGATGCTCCAGCCCTGTGAGCATCCTGCTGGTCTCCTCTGGACCTGCCCCAACAGGTCCCTGTCCTTGTGCTGGCCCCCAGAGCTGGTGCAGCGCTGCAGTGGGGCTCACAGGAGTGGGGCACAACCCCCTGCCCTGTCCTGCTGCCCAGTGCTGCTGATGCAGCCCGGGATAAGATTGGCTTTCTGGGCTGCATGTGCACACTGCTGGCTCATGGCCAGCCTCTCACCCACCAGTACCCCAAATCTTCTGCAGAGCTGCTGTTAACCCATTTATCCCTCAGTCTGTTTTGCTAGCAGGGGTTGCCCAGACTCAGGTGCACTTGGCCTTGTTGAACTCGATGATGTTCATGAGCTTGATGAGGATCTCTGGAAGTGTTCATTGCTGTGCCTGTGCAGTGAAGGGGCCAGCTGTGCTCTCTGAGGTGTATAAGCAAGCAGGCAGCCAGCAGTTTGAGGGAGACAGTTATTCCCCTCTGGCCAGGATCTGTGGGACTTTTCTGGGGTACTGTGTCCAGCCTGGGCTCCCCTGGATGGTAAATTGATAGGTGTCAGCATCAGCACGCTGGTCTGGGGCCAGGGCCATGTGATGTGTGAGGAGAGGCTGGGAGAGCTGGATGTCTTCAGCCTTAGGAGTAGGAGACAATCATATATCACTGCTTGCAGGTAGGGTAGAGGAGCTGGAGCCAGGCTTCTCATGGAAGTGCATAAAGAAAGGGCAAGGGACACCTTTTTCACCATGAGGATGACAAATGTGGCAATGAGCCCAGGGAGGCTGTGGGCCAGTTCCTAGGCTCTCTTTGATTTATTAGAGTAGATATTGCATCTCCTCTGATGCAAGCAGAGAATCTCTTTGCTCATCAGGTCTCTGTGCATCAGCTCAAGCTTCATGAGGGGTATTGTGTGTTCTGCTGTGTGCTGGCTGTGCCTAGTGCCTGTTCCAGGAGTGTGTGCAGGGGTAGAGAAACAGCAGATAGGTCATGACCATGTACCACACACTGCATTTGTGTCTGCAAACCATGCAGGCAGGGGTAGGTTTGGGTTTGCTGTGCTGAGGAGAAGCCTGCAGGCTTCCAGCTCTGCAGCTCTCCTCACATGAGAGGTTTCTGAGGGCAGGGTTTGATGTTCTCGGTGCCAGGTGCTGATGTGTTGTTAGATTGTTCCTCATGTCTACTTTAAAAAACACTTATTTGTGTTTTTTGTCTCCTCACAGCTTGAAAGTTAAACTGTACTGCTCACCAGTAACTAAGGAATTGTTGTTGACTAACTGGAAATACAAGTTTTGGGAGAATCATATTGTGAGTTTGTGTTTATTTTGAAAACAGCACTTTCCAAGCAGTGACTCTCAGAAAGAAGCAGCTCTCTGCTCCTCAGGAGTGTCTGAATATTGGTGTTGATACAGTGTTTCAGGGCTTAAGTGCCAACAATGTGCCTTTCCTGCTGCTTGCTATGTGGCATTGCTTTATTGCTGGTTGTTGTTTAATTATTTTTCCCCCTCACAAAATTTTTCCTTTTCTCTCAACTTCAGCTTTACGTGGCCTTCATCCTTACATTGATCATTTGTACATTTGAATTTGTGTTCATTTTCTTACCTTGCTCCTGTCTCTTTGCTTCTGTCCTTTATTTCTCTTTGGCTTCATTGAAACTCTCTTATTGCTTGGAGTGTATATAGTCTGAAGTTATATGAATTTCTGATTGCTTTTTGGAAAATGAACTATAACATGAAGTCGTAGTATAAAATCACTGAAAAAATTCATAAATTTACATGATTTGCAGTGTTTGGAGCCAGAGTGCAAAGGATCAGTGTTATTTACAGGTGTAATTTGAAGTTATTACCTTCCCTTTGCAGATGCAGGCATTATAAAACAGAACATGAGTTTTTTTACAGAAATAAAAATAATTATACCATAATTATTATATCTATTAATATAATATATTATAATAGTTACATAATAATTATTAATTATAAAATAGGCATTATAAAACAGAACATGAGGATTTTTTACAGAAATAAAAATAATTATCTCTGCACAAATACAGGTATATGTCCTTCCAGTGATTTGTGGGCTCTGCTTCTGGTATTGGAGGCAGTGGGAAGTCCTGCAGCACAGAGATGTCCTAGCAAGATCCACTGCTGTGGGACTGGGATTTTGGGCTTTGCAGTCATCCAAAAATAAGGTCTGTGATCCATCCAGAGGAACAAGAGCTGTTGCTGATAGAAGTCCAACATGCTCTAACTCTTTCAGGCACGCAAACTTTGCCTGAGGTATCTCCATTTAATTTTTAGATAACTTTAAGGAAAATTTATTCCACTGGAAATGGAAATTTATGACTTACTATGGGAAAATGAGTTTAATTTTACAGGCTTAGCATTAGCCACAGTGAGTGCTACAGATGTCTACATAATAAATAACTAGACATAAACATGAAACAGAATGTTCAGTAAATCCTATAATGCAATTAATCATTTTGCTACAGGTTGCATTGGAAGTTGAAACACCAACTCAGATTACTTTAGAAGATGAAACATCTGGTGAGGTAAGTTACAGGAAAAAAGCTTCATGTCAGTCATGGGCAGCAATGCTGTTTACATGAGTACAGGAAACACAGCTGCAGCATCTGAGGTGCACAAGCTATTTTAAAATGTATGTGCCCCTCCTCTCTGTAGTGACAGAAAAAGGGGTGGCAGTTCCAAACTAAAAAAAGGCTGGATTCAGACTAGATAGAAGGAAGAAGCATTTTACAATGAAACATTCAAGGTCAGGATGAGTCTCTGAGCAGTCTGATCTCGTTGAAGATGTCCCTGCTTATTGCAGGGGAGTTGGACTGGATGAACTTTAGAGGCCCCTTCCAACCCAAACTATTCTGTTATTGCTTACCAAGTATGCAGAACTGTCTTCTGTCCAACTTGCTTTATAAGCACCATACAATTCTGCCATGACAGGATGGTGGCTGCAGTGTGAAGAGACTCTCTGCTTTTAAAGCAATGCTAAATGCTGCAGGAGGCTGTGGGGAGTGATGCATTGCTCTCACTGTGCTGACAAAAGTACTGGTAGTGCTCACTACAGTCTGAAAATAATGCTAACCCCTCTCTTCCAGAAAGAAGATGTGGTGGTGACACTTCTGCCAGCTGGTCACTGTCCAGGTTCAGTCATGTATGTCCTTTCAACACTTTAAATGTTTCCTCACCTGGTATTTAATGAGGACTTTGACCCAAATGTTGCTGTCTGCAGGTTTCTGTTTGAAGGTGAGAATGGCACTGTGTTGTACACTGGGGATTTCAGGCTTGCAAAAGGAGAAGCAGCCAGAATGGAGCTTTTGCATTCAGGGACCAGGTGAGTTATTTGTGGGATATAAAAAGAAAAAAAGATCATATGGCATGGGCAATTTGGCTAGGTATTCATTTTTTTCCACGTTTTTTAGTCTAGATTAAATATAATTGCAATACTGCAGTTACAAGCCTCCTTTGACGTATTCTTTGTAATGAAGAGGTTGAATTACCTCCTTTTGTAGAGAGAGGAAGTGGTGTGTCTTAGCACTGTGGTAAAATGTTTACTCTGATATCACATTTCTATCCTCCAGGGTAAAAGACATCCAGAGTGTGTATTTGGACACTACTTTTTGTGATCCCAAATTTTATCACATACCAAGCCGGGTGAGTCTAATAAATTGTGAGAAGAAAGGCCCTTAAAAGTGTTAATTAATTAACTGCCCATTTGTTAGGAAGGTCTTACAAGGCAAAGCCATTTTGCATTACTAAATCCCAGCACTTTGGAAGTATCTTCCAAGGTAATTGACTGCACTTTGCACACTTTTCAGGAGGAATGTTTAAATGGGATCTTGGAGTTGGTGCGAAGCTGGACCTCACTGTCTCGTAATCATGTTGTGTGGCTGAACTGCAAAGCTGCTTATGGATATGAGTATTTATTCATAAACCTTAGCGAGGAACTTGGAATCAAGGTAATGTTTCCCTAATTGCTGCTTTGGAGCAGATCCTCAGTGATGATTGTGGGCAGCACTGAGCTGCCAATGGCTGTTCAGAGGCTGCTCTAGGTCACAGTTATGCCTGTTTCATTAACTTCCCTTGAAAA